TACATACAGCAAACTTGTTTTCAAACCTGGAAATTTGCTGTTCAAAGCTTGCAAGGAATTGTGTTAATGCCCATGTTCCATTGGGCAAAAATAGTGAGAGTGTAAGCATTAAGCAGTTTGAAGTCAAGGAATAGGGAATCTGCCCAATGGACAGTTTCAGAGTCATTGATACGACACGTTGATAGCTTATCAAAACGATAAAACACAACAACACCTCCGCAACGTGTCGGGTTCCACGCTGAGACCGCCTGGTAGCCTTCTATCTTAAACATATCAGATGGCTCCGCAGCCACGTCTCTGTCAAAACTATAATGTCCTGGCTTAACTCGCATGAGACTTAAAAACACTATTAACTCGTCAAGATTTTTCTTAAGCTCCTAATATTTTATGGAATATTACGAGTTTATTTACTTGATAAATATCCAAATTATAACATTCTACATCAGAATACAATACATACAATAAATACAATCAGAATGCAAGGAGTTCATGAATCTGTTCGAGACTATTGTAGAGATGAAGGAATTTCGTTGTGTAATCTACAGCAGATTAGTAAGGGCGAAGTGAAAAAAATTATTCTTTCCCTAAAAAACAAAACTTTTGTGGGTTGGGATGAAGTACCGATCAAATTAATTAAAGCTGCTGTAAATTTAATTTCTGAACCCTTTATTATCATAAATCAGTGTTTAACACGTTCGCTGCGGCACGTCAAATAGCAGGCGTATCCCCAGTGCGGCGCAGCCCTCAGCGTCGAGTAAACCCGATTGCCACGTGTGATTGGCTTTCCGATTTTGGTCTGACGAATAGCAAATAACGTGAGGGGATGTCCTGCTTTACAACGAGAGTCGATGTAGTTCGCTAAACACCCACAAATAGCAGCACTGCTTGGAACGCAGCCGGTCCCATTGGAATTGTATTGCCGAATGGAGGGAAAAAGACGGGACAAAAAGAAGACTTTTGAGATTGCCAGACGGGGAAATTTACTACCAACCTACACCACAACAAAATGCAAGTCACATACTACACGCTAACGTGGTAAAGGTCCGCTTTCGGCTGACGCTAGAGCAAAAACGAAGATATACAAAAGGCATTACCGAGCGTTCCCGATGGGGTACGGACGCACCGTATGGGGGTCAAGCGCCGTACCCGATCGGGAACGGCCGTACTCTACGTGTTAACAAATGGAATTTTCCAATGGCATTTCTCGCATTGGAAATGTATAAAGCTTGGGGTGCCTCAAGGCTCCATTTTTTTCTTTTTAATTTACATAAATGACCTCCCTAAAGCTATTAATAGAGATCTTATTCTGTTTGCTGACAATACTACTGCAATCATTAAAGAAAATAGTAGAGAAGAGCTTCTTACATCTCTCACAGAAGTTATGAAGGAAATGGAAAATTGGTTTAAAATAAATAGCCTTAAACTCAATGTGGATAAAACCCAAATTATCAATTTTTCAGCCAGAAATGAAAGAGAAATAGTATTTCCAATTTAGTCCATTCAAATAAATTCCTAGGAATTTATCTAGACAAAAATATTAACTGGAAGGTGCATCTAGATGTTATAAAGAAAAAATTAGATCTGCATCATCTGTCTTTGTCCACTTGAGAGAATGTGTCACCATTGAAGTACTTAAAATGGTTTATCATGTGAATGTAGAATCCATCTTGAGGTACGGTGTGATCTTGTGGGGACAGGCAACTGATGCAAAAACTATTTTCAGATTTCAGAAAAGAATCATCCGAATTATGACTAATTCCCACCCAGAAGTCCTTGTAAATTACATTTTCAAAATTTAAAAATCCAAACACTCACAGGACTATACATATATGAATTATTAACCCTTTGCAGTCAAATGGCGAGTATAGGTCGCCGCCCGCCATTTTGCCGACTGTTCAAAAATGGCGACCTACAAGGACCAAAAAAAAAAATGTATATTCAAAAATCAAAAAAGTTAATTTTTTTGGTCAAATGGCGAGTATAGGTCACTGGGCGCCATTTTTCTGACTGCTTGAATGGCAAGCTAAATTCTCCAAAAATTGTGGGAAAAATTCGACCCCAAAGGGTTAAATTACATACACAATATAAAAAATAACCTCCCGGATTCATTCAGATTCACACAGAACTATAGTACAGGAAACGAAACAATTTTCAGATTACCAAATCACCATTTGACCTTATTTGAAAAAAGTCCTTGTACGCAGGTTAAAAAATGTATAATAAACTACCGATATATTATAAAAAATTAGTTCAAACAAATTAGTTCAAACAAGTTTCAAGAAACATTGAAAAATGGACTCCTTGAACGTGCGTTTTATAAAATCGAAGAATTTTATAACCATCCCTTGAGTTAATTTTTTGTTTTTGATTTTCTTAACCACGGTATTGTTTTGGCTAGGTATTTTTTCCTGTTACTTTGTTCCTTTTTACTTTGTATTTTTCTGGTCTAGGCTCAATTTTGACAATGCACCTGTTCTATATGTTATCACATCTAAAAGAATGTTACCGGTATGTGCAAATAAATAATGTCTAATGTCTAATTTACCTAACTTTTACCTGTCATGATTGAGAAAAGACAAATATAACATCAAACAAATTTCAAATAAGACCTTGAAAGAAACAACCTAAAGAAAAACAAAGCTGACACAGGTTAAGATTCATTATGTTAGTACTGTAGTGGCAATTATACATTCTACAATACTTAATATTTTTTGGGCATATTATGTACTTTTTAGCTCATCATTAGTAAAAAATATTATTAAATTATTAGTATTAGTAAAAAATCTTAATTTATAAACGTGTAAGTTTTAAAAGATAACAGGCCTGCAAAATACTGTTACCATATTTTTACTTATCAATATTAAATTATTTAGTCAGTTCACCTGCAATGTTAATGGAAGGTCAAACAAATGATAAAGAATGAATATGTGGAATGTAGGTCAAGCTCAGCTTAGTTATCCAACTGATAATCATTGATTTGATAACACATCCTATTCCAGAACATTTTAATAAAAAAAGTAGGTAGTATTAAGCAGCAATAAATGTACTATCTCTAAAGTTATTAGATTAAATTGTACTTGAATTCCTTAATTAGTTTTGGTTATATGTATTTCTTCTTAAAATTAGAAAATACCATAATTGAATGATAAACGTTTTTAAGGCAAACACACACACAAATATAAAACTTACTTTGCTATGTATTAGAGTTTCCTTATAGTTCGACTACCTTTACACTTATCAAGGTCATCCATTAAGTCAAGAACAATTACTCAGTCACCATCACTTTTCCGCAAGAAAATCTCGCCTCCCCGTATCCAGAGGCATGTTTAGCCCTTTTCTCTTTTTAGCAGTCAAGCGGAGTTAAGGATCCTGTGTCATTCCGGAGTAAGACTTTCATTTACATATACCACCGCGGCGGGCTTAGCAGTCAGTCCCAGGTCATGAGTATTCATATTCCTCTTCACTCTTCTTTTCTGTAGCATCTAGTCTTCTCACCATTTTAACAATAATTCCCGGAGGTTTGCCAGAGCCTTCTCTAGTCCGGAGACGATGAAAGGCGTCTATCATGTTGTCCTCCACAGGGTAGTCAAGGGCACGTACTACTGTCTTTACTAAGGCGACGACATTCTCCCCCTTTTTTTCCACTGGGACTCTATGAATTTTGATTGTGTTACTGTCCCATCTCAATCATCCTAGATTCTAGACTACAAAACCTTGTTGCGAAGTGTCATGTTTTCTGTTTTGAGATCTTCTACTCTTTTCATCCACTCTGACAATTCTTCGCTTTGCTTTCGGACCATTGCCTTTGTGGTTGATATTTCCTCGTGGCAACTATCTAGGGAAAGTCCTAAACTTGTTTCAACTCGTTTAAAGTCGTTACTGAGCTCAGAAACCAAATAAAGTACATCATCTTAGGCCATAGAACTTGTAGTTTCAACAGTCATACTCTTGCCTTCGAATTTGGTTCACATCTCCAAACACTTTCTTATTCCGATAGGTACGACACTTCATCCGTGGTCATATTGACACATCTTGCATGGAAGCTCTGCTCACAATCAGTACAACTTACTTTAACTTTCAAATGTTTAAGGGATTTTGAACATTTAGAACAATCAGCCATATTTATACTGTATGTCTCAAAATTATAATGACACTATGTTAAAACTCTCCTATAAGAAACACGCACGTTTTTATATTTATATTTTTTTATACTTTATCTGTAGTACACATGTAATTTGAGGGATTTAAAAAGCACATCTACATCAAACCATGATGACAGGAAAACCTGTAGATATATAAGGAGTAAGGACAATGATAAGGCAAGCACTCCAAAAACACAACCGTCCTGCTCGGCATCCAACTGATAACTGATTGTTATTGACTGAACACAAATAATAAAAATAACTACAGAAACTTCTTTTTTTGTTACGGTTGCACTTATTGTTGTATCTCAGTGTGTGTCTAAAAAGAAATTCTTGATTTTGTATGATAGTGTTGTTTAGAGCTCCCGCCAATTGTAGCCTACGTAACTTTCTAAAAACCCCTTCCCTTGCCCCGTCAGGGCTTGGGGATGTTTTATGGGGGTAACAGTCAGTGTTTTAACGAAACTCACGTGGCACACAGCGTCCTCCGTTAGCATTTTTCTATTAAAATTACTCATTTATACAGTCCGCTAAAATCGTATTTGTTACGCGTTTTTCAATTTATTCAAATTCATTGTGTATTCAGAACTTTCAACATCATATCTGTATTTTTTCAGTGTTTCAATATTAAATTCAGCATAATCAGTTAACTCAGTGTTTTCATTTGAAATGTCCACAAATAACTATTAACTCATTAAATTAATTTCACTACCAACTACTCAGCCATCAGCGCAACCACATAACAGTGTTTTTTTACCAAATTTATGCCATTTTTAAGATAATGTGATACTAAAGAAAAACAGTAAATGCATGAATGTTCAATGCAAAAGTTTATGGTTTCTGTGTTTTTCATTGTAGGACAATTACGATGTACAATTTGTAAGAGCAGTGTACGAGAGTAGGGTGGTGACATACCATGAGCTTAAGTCTAACAACATCGTCCATGACGGGCCAGTTCGTATACCATATTACACCAAGGAACAGTACCAGCGCACAGCCAAAGCTCTTGGTCTCATGGACGATTTTAGGGTAAGTTGTTTTAAAACATATCTTTACGATTACCTTTACCACAAAATGATTTAAACTAAATTTTCCAATATAAAATGCATGTTAACTGCATTACCAAACAATATAGTATTTAGTTTTTTTTGTTTAAGGCTTTTAAAATTAACTTGCATTTTATATGAAAAAATTTAGTTTTTGGTTTATTACTCAAATTAAATTGTAAAAAAAATAGACACTAGGTGCAAATTTGAAAGTTGTTTATCTTAACAAGACGCTTAAATTGATATGACAATAATAGGTTTTTTACATACCTCAGTCAAATAGTCCAAAAATGATATTGCTCAACAGCTTACATGTTTCGTTGCGAAGACAACATTTTCAAAGCTTCAAAAACACATTTAAAACACGGGACACGAACACAGAAAACATTAATATGGTACGAATACACGATAAACATTTAGATAGCTCTATCATAATACTGATTTGGTCCGGCGCGGCACTCAGCAGCCCCTAGGAAGAGAGAAACAAAGGTTTAAAACATTCCCTTTTAATCATTTTGTGATTGAGCAAGCAGATTTAGAATTTAAATAAATTATGATTACAATGGATTTAAATTGGTACATACATATTTCACTTGATGTTACACAACCTAACTTCTGCCAATAAAGTGACAACAGGCCATGGGATCTAAACTTCTTCACATTCACACACAACACACGCGCGCGACACTACAACGAAACATTTTACGATTTTGGAGACTGGAGACTAACTCACGCTAAGCCGAATTTTAGGAGACTGTCCGTCACTTCCGCAGATAATTTAGAGGGTCGTGAAGATGCCGGAACCTCTCCGCCAATCGGGTGGTGATACGTCATACAGCCAGGGTGTTCTTACAGATGATTGGTTTCTGTGAGCCCACCTGATTTGCACACGTGTCGATGCTTCCAGAAGTTTATTGGCATATTCTCTGTCTCTGTCACAGGAAAACGGATGCGTAGCTTGCACTTACTTTTGGGAACAAGCCGAGACTGTCTGATCATTGGAAAAGTACAGTAAACAGGAAATGATGATTAAGAATGACAGCTACAGAGATTGAGTATTGAAAACAGGAAATAATGGGTTGAATTACAAAGTTCAGGAAGCTTGAGAAATATTAACTCAAATATGTTTTAGGGTTTCAGGAATGTTAAGGCAATGAAATGAAATTTTTAATTAAAATTGAGTAAGTAGTAACTCTCCCCTTGTTAAAAACATCAAACTGTGTTTGGCGTTCAGCTGAAACTAGAATGAAGATTGCACATATGGCTCTGAATGTGCTGCTCGAAGTTGTGGGGGTAGTTGGGTAGTTTGGGCGCTACTACGAGTGGCGAGGGGATTGCACACGGCACAGTTCGAGTCCTTCCTCCGCGTTGCGTCATGGTTGGACTGACTTGTCCGTTGCCTGGCGCGGATTTTAAACCTGTAGATTTAAAATCGGTACAGCAGTTAAAGAGAACATAAAAACTAAACTAACTCAATCCACCTTTCTACATGCTAAGCCAAGCCAAGCAAAGTTGTTGCATTTATTCTGTGTTGTGTTAACAGAGTGGCGTTCCTCGAACAGGATACAGAGGTATTGTGACCTTTTACTACAACAAGCGACGAGTGTATCTCGCTCCTCATGCCAACTGGAAGGGTTACGACTTGACGTGGAGCTAACCTATACCATCCATCAGGCATCACATCGTTGTACCTGTCAAGTAAAACTAAGATATCCACACTGAGAAAATATCTATATTGCATTTACTATTTGTTTAACCAAATGGGACTCAAGTCATGTCAATGTATTCGTCAAATCACATTTGGTTCATTAGCAGTAATTTGTATTTTGTTTTTGGTTTTAGATAATGTCTCAATAGAAAGAAGCAATTTACTAGTGTCAATTGATTTTAGGGATAGGATAGCCAGAATTATATTTAATAAAAAAATCTATGTTACATTTTGTTATATGTTGCAATGAAACTTATTGCGAGCAAAATATCATTTCATAAAATTACAGGATACAATGTTAATTTCAAAACCCAGTCTGCCTCGCTTCTTGGACTCTAATTTACCACTTGTTTTACAAACAAATTGGTGATATGTTTCAATATTTGTGAGATATAACTGAACCTCAAAATTAACATGATTAGTTTGTGGTTGTTGCTTGATACAATTTATCCAACAAATTAACCTGAGCCAGTTTTCATACTTTATGTTAAAAACGGTACCTCTTATGTACCCTACAAATTGATTCAAACTTGCTATCCTATGGTCTAAAATCACGCTCCTTTTAAATGTTTGGGCTTACATTAATTTTCTCAAAAAGTATGACACATTTCAAAGAGCTTTGTAGAATTGTATTTGTTTATTTTATTTCATCAGACATTTTTTGTAGCCTTTGAGTAGCTTATAATTATATTATTTTGTTGTTATTATTTGTCATGTTTTGATTTATACAGTTCAGAATGTACATACAGTACTACTTAAGCATATGCTATCATCTTTACGAGAAATCAAATTGTATTTTATATCTGTCTGTAGTGTATTTTTATGTGAAAACCTTCATTGAACAATCATGGAAGAACAAGTGCAAATTTAAGAACTTATTAATTCAGTTAAAAGTGTATATAGATCCAAATAAATTACTATGTTATTAATAAGTACCTATATAATAAGTATTTGTCAGATATTATATTCGTTCCCCTTTAACACAATATCTAGCATAATTCAATTTCCAAAATCATAATATTTATGACACAATAAAGTCTTTTTTACAAAGATGTAGGCCTATATAAAGGAGTTGTAAACCCCCGTTTATTTGTAAACTTAACAAAAAAGCTTACAATTTATTGATCAAGAATTTATTTACAATTTATTGATCAAGAAGCTATTTACAATTTATTGATCAAGAAGCTATTTACAATTTATTGATCGAAAAGTTATTCACAATTTATTGTTCAAGAAGTTATTTACAATTTATTGATTACACAATATTGTAAACAGCTTAGGTTTACCTATTATTAATATTTATCATCCCTAAAGATTTCAGTACTGTATAATTTTCTATTCCGAAATCATAGGAACTTTTCAGTTTTTTACAGAAAACCTGTCTAAGCTGTTATAGGATTTGTAACAAAAATTAAAACATCACAAAATTGTTTTAGGTCCTTACTTTATAACAGTCGTCTTACATTTTTAAATGTGTATTACTTTAAATATATGTAATATATTTCTAATATTTCTTTAACAGTGGTGCAGAAAAGATGCCTGGATCATGAAGAAAAATAGATTTAATTATATTTTTAATAGTTTTTAGTTAGCCTAAAAACAAAAACAATCTTTTCATGTTTGCTTTTTTCTCACGAGTAAAGGTTGACTCTTTATAAATATTTCATAATTGTGATTCACGAAATGTTATTGTAATTATAAATTTATTATACTATAAGGATTAGCAATTAATCCATACAAAAAAACTATCGGGAGGACTTTCTTAATTATTGATATATCAATACCAGAATTTATCTATTGTTGATACCGATACCTGAAAAATAGATTCTCCATAGTTTATCAAATTTTCTGAATGGATTGGTTATACTACACCAACAAAGTCTTTAAACTATAAAGTCATGAAGTATTTTAGAGGTAATGGGGAGTTTTTTAAGTAAAGAGAAAATGTATGCTGCAATGACAAATTTTAACTAGCCAATTTAACCTCACCATGAAAGCCAATTTAAGCTTAAACCCTTCTTAACACATTAAATAACTACCATATTAAATGTAAATGAAGATCTCACAATCAAAGAAAATCTTTGGATAACCAGAAGTGTACCAGCCTAATATTTTCAGTCAAACCAAACTTGAGGTAATATCGTGATTATCTCCCGTGGTCAAGGAGACATCATCGTCGTCTTCTGGAATCACTGCAAAATCCTGAATATCTTCCTCAGTCACAGAAACATCATCACTATCTTTCGCGGTCGCGGAAGAATCCTGAATATGGCTCAGCGGTAACAGAAAAACTATCATCTCCCATGGAAACGTTTTCAGCGTCTTCAAATTCATATAATCTCCTGCAGTCGTGTAGACATCATCATCGTCTCCTGTGGTCCTATTCACGTCATCATAGTCTTTCGCGATCTCGGCAAATTTCTGGTTATCTTCCGCGGTTGTGTAAGTCTAGACATCATCATCGTCTTCCGCGACCTAGGCATATTCATTACCGTGTTTTTGCCGTGTAGACCATCATCATCATTGACTCCCGCCATCACAGAAACGTCGTCATTTTGCGCCATCACGGCAAAACCATGAACATAAACATCACCCGCGGCTGTGTGGACTTCCCATCGTCTCCCGCAGTCACAGAAACGTTATGGTCGTCTTGCACAATTTTGGCAATAGTATAATTTTCAAATTGTGCGGGTATCGGAATTGACAATTGACTCTCAAAACCGATACCAATGTCCAAGTACAGGTGGCATAAAGAATTGGTATCGAGAATCAACATGTCCCTACTTTTAATTTTTTAATCAGTTGGGTCTGTAAAAACAGAAACTCATAATTAAATTGTTATGAAATGGATTTGTGTGTATTAAAGTACTTTGCCGTCTTAAAATGTACCCCAAACCATACTTAAACAAAATATTAAATTTAGGGTAAATGATGTCTTGTGATATAATTGTGATTAGTTATGTCTTACGGCATTACAAATTAGTGATTAGTTACGTCTTTAAATGTAAAGCTAGAACTATATTTGACAACCATTGAACAAATCTAAACTACAATGCACATATACGTGTGGTATATGTTTAGTGCAAGATAGCATAATATAGCCACATTGATGTGAAGAATGTACATTTTAAAAGTAGGTTTTTACCTGTTTTTTCAATATTTTTTTTTCAATATGGCATTCTTACCTATAATGCTTCCTATCATTGTCTGTGTTTTTAGTCTTCCTCTATTACTTTTTTTTTAACTCCACATTGGGTTATTGTATAAGTTATCTCCTTTATATCTTCCAGTTGTCTAAAGCAGTTGTGGTGATAAATAACCACAATGTTCTAATGTTCTTAAATATTAAATAACATGAATACAATAAAAGATTGGTGTGTTCTCAGACTTGGCGGGAGGGGGACGGGTTCGGTCCATGGCATACCCACAAACATTTGAGGGGCTCAGAGCGCTTTCCGTTACAGCATTTGCAGTTCATTGTAGCCTAATTCAAAATGTAAACATAACAAAGTTTGTGCAATTGAGGAAGGAAGAAAATCCCAAAAGTATTCAACTAATCTATTTAGAAACATGTTACTTGGATGGGAAAGAGTCCAGTCAGGCTTGAGAAACGCAAAAGGTTACATTTTTTTGTGTACAAAAACATAAGTTTCCTGTTACATGTTTGTATTTCTCATGCCATATTGGAGTCATTCTCATTCAGGTAAGCTGGTATTCTCAGAAAAAATTATAAAATCCTAGGCTCTTGTGCTCTTTTTAGCGAATTTCCCATATAGGGAATAAGCTATTACCGTAGTACTCATGGTAAGACCTGGACCCGGGACCGATTTATTTTTTCGTTTTGAGGTCCCTAAAGGCCAAAAACACCATCCGTTCAAATTCATATATATATATATATATATATATATATATATATGTCCGTCAGCACGATAACTCAAGCAAAAATGATCCGATTTTGATGAAATTTGGTACAAACGTGTAAACCTACATTTATTCGAACGAGTTCGCGAACCAGCATGATCGGACTATGGGAACGGGGGTTTATGGGGGGTTTTATGGGGTAAAAATAGGTTTTTTCCCATTTTTGACCCTAAAAACACAAAATTTTACAATTTATTTCCAAACCATTTTGTAGAGCTTAAAAAACAAATAATTTAGTATATTGAAGCGTTATTGTGCGCCTAATGGTTACAGAGAAAATTCCAAAAAATTGTAAATTTAAAATCCGTATGTTATTCTTATGGAGATTAAGTCAACTGTTGTAGTTTACTTCTTTATGAACATATTTTGATCGAATTTGGAAAATACATTCATTTCTTACTAATTATTAACATAAAAAACCACCTTTTTACCCTCCCTGTTGCAGCAAACCTAAGTACTTGTTAAACTAATTATAATTAAATACGGAATAAATATGATATTTTTAAGGAGGCATTTTAATGTGAAATCCTATCAGGCTAATGGAAATTCGCTTAGTCTGCAGGTTTGCTGCGGCGGGGGTATTTCATTATTAAACTTGTATAAACATTTCATCTGCAAATGACAATACCTTAACAGTATTACTGGGAGGTTTTGTGTTTTTCCCCCTTTGTTAGTATTTGTTCATTGCATTAAAACATGCTTACAGTTGGTGACTAACTCACACTTAAATTTGGATTCTATGCCTAGCATTTTAGTTTCACGTAGCTTCCGTTAATTTATATTTTAAAATTTTGATTACTTTTCCCATTATTTTTAAAATAAAAATCTACTTGCCAACATAATTTAAAATTAGAGACTCGTAAAAATTGGAGCATATTTTTCTATACATTTTTACCAGAGCTGATATTCAGTTTATTTTGTGCGTTGCTACTTACACCACAAGAAATTTCCTTGTTTTCTCCAAGTTGTCAGATGACAAATAAATGTATACTTGTAGTATAATTATGATTTTTTTCTTTTAGGGCTTTATTGAGTAATCGGTAATGTGCTGGGGTTATGTATAGTGTGCCCAATAAATTATTCTTGATTGTGTTACTATTTTTGCCATGTATATATAGTTATTAGTTATCTTGTAAGAAGTTGTAAAATAAATATCTTTAGACTTATGGAAATATAAATATATCTAGTTAATGTATAGATTCGGTTATGAAATTTCATCAGTGAAACCAAAAATTAAAATGATATTTAATTAGTTTTGTTAATATTTATAATAGGGTTCATTTTTCTCTGTTCTCTTGACATTGTTTCGCAAAAGTACAGTTTTTATACTTGGACATTGTTGTTTATTCCTGTTTCATATTTTTAATAAAACCATGTTAAACTAAAACACTTGTGATTTTACCCTGTTTGCGATATAATGATAGATTTAAAATATGGCATAACACTTAAACTGCAACAAGGTAAAAGTGTCAATAGTTTTTGTTTGAATGTATAAAATATCTTTTATTTTGAATTGTTTTTAATTATCGTTAGGACAAGTCAAGTGTATTGTTTGATCAGGAGAAGTGATAAGGTATTAGTTTCAAAACAGTGTAAAACCTTAAGTTTTTTCATATAAATTGCACGCAAAATATGCAAAGTTATCCACTAAGGGAGACAAAATTTACCTGTAATTTTTTTTAAATTTTAACTCATAATTTTTTTTTATCCTACCTTTTAAAACATATTTTTCAGTCTCCCTCTTCCATTAGTTTTATGATATTAGGGTAAAACTTGTGTGGAATTGAAATAGCCAACATAAATGCTAATATAAAATACAATTAAACAAGTTATATTCTATATACCAGTCCCTTATGGAAAAAAGTTGGTTTTAAAAGAGCGCATTTATCAAACACTATATATGTGATATGTTTCAATACATTTGTTAGCATTTTATGACACAATAGTGAATCCTGTTCAGTGTTTGATTGGATGTGAAGATGGTCAGGTTTTTGAGCCTAAATTTACAAAACTGTTAATGTAGAGTTATTAATATTTCAGAAAAATTAAAGAAATAGAAACCATCCTCTAAAAATGCACTATGCCATAACAAAACGTCAAAACTGCTTCTAAGTAAAAGTTTCCAGAAAATTGGTATACAATTTTACTTATTTTTGCTTACAATATTTAAAATAGAGCTACAAAGTTTTGCACAAAGTGACTGGACATAAAAATATATTTTATCACATATTCAGTGATCTGTTACTCCCTCAGGGGGACGGCCCGCTAGGAGTCAGAAGATAATCTTAAAAGTAAGCATAGGTTGATATGCAGTGGCGGCGATAGCGGACCCGCAGGGCCCGCGGTGCGGGGGGGCCCGCGAGCTAGGGGGGCCCGTGAGCCTTGGCCGGGATTTTCGGCAAATTTTACCGGCACACGGGCCCGCGATAGTGGGACAGGCTCATCCACATGGGTCCCCTATCATAACAATATTTATATGAGAATTAAAATAGGCAACGTTTTTTTATGATGAAAATTTGTTCAAACCTATAGTTCAAGTAGTTTACAACAACTAAACTAACACTATTACTTAACCGATCAACATAAATTATCTACCAACGTAAAAGAATTGTCATCAGTCATGCGGGTTGCATTAACTGTCCTCCGTGGATTGTTTGAAGGCGCAGTCAAAATTGGTTACATAATAATAGGGCCGTATTTATAACCAATGTGGCCTTTGTCATCGTCACCCGCGGGGCGTCGATATCCGCGATCGCGGCAAAAGCGTAGGCCTAATCTTTCAATTTCGTGAGTGTGATCCTCACGGATATAAAAGCTTTTACTTTTAATTGTGCATTATTGTATTGAATACTGAGAAAATCGGCTCGAGCTTGATTTTCTGACTTTGTGCTTGATCTCTCAAACTTGTAGTCCAGGCTCTGCTCGGCTCGAAAATTGACATTATAGGCCTATTATGAAAATCAACCGTTTCCAAAGCAACCCGATCTTGAACGCACTAAAAATGTTACTAAGGGCCTCAGACCAAATCAGATCGGTTCAAAATCGGGTTGTTTTGGAAACGGTTGATTTTTATAATAACCCTATAATGTCGATTTTCGAGCCGAGCAGAGCCTGGACTACAAGCTTGAAAGATCAAGCACAAAGTCAGAAAGTCAAGCTCGAGCCTATTTTCTCAGTACTCAATACAATAATGCACAATTAAAAGTTAAAGCTTTTATAAGGATCACGCCATTGACTATATAACACTACGTAGTGTTATATAGTCAATGATCACGCTCAGGAAATTGAAAGATTAGGCCTACGCTTTTGCCGCGATCGCGGATATTGACGAGAACATTTCCCCGCGTGTGACGATGACGATGTCTCTGCGGCCGCAGATGTTCAATATTTTACCGCTTTTGCGGAAGACGATAGTTACGTTTCTTTTAGCGTGAGATATATCTAGGATTTAGCCGCGATTACGGAAAAATGATTTACCCATCACCACCGACGGGTCGCGGGGAGATATTAGGCCGTGATATTAGATTGGGCCGTGAACGCACGAGACGATGATGCTGCTATCTAATGATATCATAGGTTTGGCTGCATTTGCAATCACGGTAAACTATGATAATGTTTCTTCCATGACTTATGACTACGGGAAGTATTTACGATTTTGCCGCGATCATGGAAGACGATAATGACGCCTTGGGAGATGCCTTGTCAAGTTTATTGCAAAATTGCAAGTTTAGGCGGTAATACATGGTAAAATGTTTTTAAAGATTATTGGGAGAGGGGGCCCGGCGAACAAACTTGCGGGGGGGCCCGTGGGTTCTTATCGCCGCCATTGTTGATATGCATATCAAATAAAAGGTCTTTACTAGTAGAATACACTGCCACAATCGCAAACTCAAACGGACAACTGAGTCCTGAAATGTCAGCTATTCAAAGATGCATAGAATCTGCAATGATGTTGTGCACTACATCCTCAGGGGGGCACCCGTTAGAAGTCGGAAGAAATTCATAACCGTATGTATGTCATGTTCCGTACAATCATGTTCCTTTTGCTAAGTAAGGTTTGTTCTTTACTAAGTAAGGTAAAAAATTCTTTTGAAGTCATAGGTATAACACTTTTCAACAAACTATACAAATACTCAGGCGGGTAAAAAATTGCTATACAATAAATGAAAACAAATTTAAACGGATAGAAACAATTTGTTTAAAAAAATTACACCTAGAAGAAATTGATTGTAATCAAACAATAAATACCCAAAAATTAAGAAATGACTTAAGAGAAAAAGAGTTTGAAAATTGGAAAAGCTTAAAACAGAAGGGTAAAGGTGTTGAACTTTTCAAGGACTATACTCCGGGAAATAAAAGTATTATTAATAAAGAAGGCTTGTCAGAATCTGAGTGGAAAGACAGTATAAAAATGATTGTAAATGTGGTGCCAGTGCGTGTTCTCCACGGCAGAAGTCAGGGCAATAACCGCTGCAGGCATGCCTGTGGTGAGATTGAAACCCTTGCACATGCCCTTGGCTTCTGTCCGTTTGGTGAACTTCTAAGAAACACAAGGCACCACAAAATAAGAAGTATAATAGCAAATGCCTTCCTAAAAAGGTATAATACATGGGAAGTGCAAGAAGAAGTACACTGTCTTTCTTCTAACGGAAGCACCAGAAGAGTAGGTATTTTATTGATTGAAAGAGATACTAACAAAGGGATAATTCTCGATCCTACAATTCGATTTGAAACAAACATAAATTAAGCTAACAAAGTAAATGAAGAAAAGAAACAAATTTATGATTCTACCTTTGAATATTTCAAGCAAAGTTTTAAAATTTCAAAAATTGAGGTGATTGGATTGTTTATTGGTTCTAGAGGAACATTATCAAAATTGTTTGTGAACTTTTGGAAACAATATGATTTGGACAGATCCTTTTTGAAAATTATTATTCATGAAACATTAAGAGGTTCATTGACCATAATGAGAAATCA